AACTCTAGATCTCATGACATCCCAAAAGTTTGCTTCACAAACTCATCCACCTCATTTGAAAAGAAGCCGCATCACTAAATCCTCTCTCCTCTTCATATCCCCACCAAACACCCTACAATGTCGACCGCAACCCCCCACCCCTATGCCCAAATCGCGTCCCTCAACAACCGTCTCACCGCGCTAAAAATGCTCATTCTAGACTACCGCAAGTTAATCGAGCGAACCCTCCTCCCCATCGCCCACGACACCATCTCCGGTGCCAACAAAGCCCAAGCCGACACCGAAGCCCATCTCGACGAAGCTCCAAACCGGAAAGAAATGCTCGAAGAAACCGCTGTGTTCATGGACGGCCGCACCCACGCCAAAGCCCTGCTCACCCGCTTCGAAGAGCAGATGCAGGCGTTGGAGGCATATCAGAAAGCGCAGCTGGATGACTTTTACGCTACTGATATGGGGTTTGATATGCTGAAAGCTGATATTGCGCCGCATATGATTACCCAGGAGGAGACGGCGGTTGTGTTGAAGGTGCGTCAGGCTGGGAGGCAGCTGTATGAGATGGCGAAGAAGGCGGATGAGGTGTTGGTGAAGGAGATGGTGGAGGGGAATGAGGTTTGGAAAGAGATCTTTAGTAAGGAGGAGAAGGAGGGGTTTGCGAGGGAGTTTATTGAGGTGGTGGCGAGGTGGAGTGGAGTGAATCCTTGAGGGGTTTTGAGAAAGGGCGGTTGTGGCATGCTTCCATTAGACTTCCAAAGACTGACGGTCTACAGGGCATGCTTTTCGCTTCACTTTTGTCGTTTTGATGCAACTTTTTGCGATTAATTCTGCTGCAAAGCAGCCCAGAAACTAGACATTTACGCACGTACTAGCTCTGGGGTCATCAGAGAAGTCAAAAGAAACCTCATCTTGTATTGAACATCCTACTCTACCCAACTAATGCGTACAGTCTACCCGAAGCCCATCTAACCCACTGAACAAGTACCATAGTGAAATGAATATCTCTAAATAGTCCCTGAATCCCGCCAGCCCCAATCTATCTCACCTCGTAGACCTAGGTCAGGTCTCATACTCTGTACCACGTCTTCTCTCCTGGGAGCTCCAACTCCTAACCGGCGGTTTATACGGCGGGTTCGCGTCTCGGCGGACTCTGCAAACAGGGCAAACGTACACACCATCGACACGCTCACATGAATTGATTGCGCGGCAGTCTCGGTTAGGGCAGATCCAGTCTCCCTTCATCTTCGGACAATCGAAGTAAGCATTCTGGCATTTTTCGGTGTTGGTCTTGTAGTTGAGGTAGTCGCACAGGCCGCATCGGTAGTGTTCGGAATGAGGCATGGTGTGTGTTGGCTGTTCGTGCGGTTCAGATGAGGTTGATGGTCGTGATTGGATGTTGGTAGATTTGGGTGCGGATGTACTGTACTGTGAACGCATTGCTTGCTTAGCTGGGCAGTCTATTGTTACTGGAGGATCACTTACGAGATCGAAGTAGACTATTAATAGAGGTTGTTGTTGTTGTTGTAGACCTGCTGACAATCGAGGAAGATAGGTGATAGATGTTCGTTGTTGATAATAGACTCTAAGTGTTGTATTCTATTGTTGTGTTGTACCTAAGTTGAGGGCGCCAGCGTGGCGCCTTTAATAATGCCGTGGATTCACGTATCGTACTGAGATGTGATTACCGCACTTCATACGACACAAACGAGACGTGAAGCCTGCCATGAATTAATGGCGGATGGATTGACATCTCGACGTCACAGGTGATTGCACCTGGCTCATCACATCGTTCAGTGAAGGCAGACATTGACTGAATCTAGAATCTTAGCATAGTCGCAATCCGTGGGGCATGCTGTTGGCATCACTTTCGTTGGTATAATGCAAAGCCTTCTCACGATGAGAACTGAATTCTTTATCCTTCACTTCTTGTTCAATTCGTACCAAAACCAGGTTAAAGACCGTCATGTATCATACATATAACCTCCTCCGTTGACCAACACGTACAAATTACCCAGAGTCCATCTAATTCAACACCGAGATACCCAACCCAAATCAAAAACCTTAGCCGATATCTCCGGCTCCTCTGCACCCCAATATGTCTGCCTCTAGCCGCTCGGATTGACAGGGTTCCCACCTAAGGCGGAGGCCCGGAGCTCATTCTGTTCCTCGCGTTGGACTGATTTCGACCAATCGACATACGGCGGTATGTACGGGTCGTCTGAATTGTGAGTTTGGTTGCAATAAGGGCAAATTCGAGCGCTTTCTGCAGAGAGGCTTTTGTCGTGCTTTACAATCCTTGCGCAAGGCTTGCAAACCCAATCCAATTTCCATTTCTCACAGCCCGGTCCGTTAGGGTTCTTGCATTTCCCCTCGTTGTTGACCTTGTTCGGATAACCGCACCAAGTGCAATTATATTTATCTGGTACACCCATGACCAGCTTTTGGTATTGATACTGCTGGGACGAGAGTTCACGATTTGGGTAGGTTGGTGGTGACTTTGGGTCCGTATATAGCGACCTTTGACCTGGTAGATTGAACGTTCGCTCGAGATCTGTTGGTTTTGAAGACTAACCAACAGATACGATGAGATTCGGTATTCGTGACCGCTGTTTCGCTTTCGCTTGACGAGAATACGAGAATAGATGAATGTTTGCAGTGGCTAAGAGACTTCAATTGATAGATGGTACCTACATGTAGAGCTTACCACAAACGCAATTTATACTAGCAAAGAGTCACAGAATCTACACACTCACATTCATATCTGGCTCACTGCGTTGCTCGCTGCAGTCAAAGGTTTGACTGTATTCAGTGGCTCGATGGAGTCGTTGCATTCAAGTCACCGACTGATGATAACGTCTGACTGAGGATCACGGGGCTGTACTACCTCCAACACAACCAAAGTGACGAACCCAAAAGACTCATAGATATAACACGTGTTGTATATAGATAACGCCTCGCTTCTATCCCGCTATTTGGCCCGTGATGCCGCACTGGCCTAAAAGTCACTTTGTCGCTGTCGATGTGATCTATCCTGCTTTTCTAACTCCCGCTCTATGAACTCCGTATAATCAATCTAAACTCGTACTCTGTAGCTTTATCATGTACGTGTTTGGTGTTCGCATCTTCGGCGTTGAGTAGCCCTTCCCAGCGCACTTAAGCGAGTTGTCTTCGAGACCCTGATTTCGTCATATTACGAAATGTCCCTGTTCATCCTCCGAATCCTTCGCATCCTTCGCACAGTTACACCATCAATACTCATATCTCTCGTCATACCCTTCACCGTCTCTCCTTCAAACCTCTCTCCATATAGTCAAACTCAGACTCATCCCCACCTCTTCACCTCCCCTCATACTCCGTCCCCTTCTTCCTCTCCGCCGAGCTCCAACTCCTGACCGGCGGCGTATACTTGTACTTCGCATCAAACGCCGCACCACACTGATCACACCTATACACGCCGTCCTTATCACAACCCAGTGTGATGCGCACAATGTTTGGGCATTTGGCGCAGAACCAGTCGCCTTTGGATTTGGGGCAGTAGGCGATGTTGTTGAGGCAGGCGCCGCTGTGAGAGGCCGGGTTGGGGAAGTCGCAGCCGGAGCAGCGGTATGGGGTCGCTGATGGCATTGTCGAGGAGTTGGGATTTGGAGGTGGGTTGCGGTTTCAAGGGTAGGAATGAGTGGTGGTTGCTGTGCTGGTTTGGTGTCTCAAAGTTGGCAGGTATGTAGCGTTCGATATTTGAAGATCGGTAGGTATATGATGAACGTGATTGCTGTGTAACTCGAAAGGATAAACCGGAAGTGTGGAAGTGCATGAAAGTATCTCCTCCAAGTACGACGTCGGAAGGTACAGTATTTAGTCGTGGAGAGAGACCTTCAAATTCAGGTTCCGTTTAACCCAATGGTTCTTTTGACCAGCGTTCTTTCTTTCGGGCTGTGTTCCGTCGTATTTCCATACGTATAGCGAGCGAGGAGAAGGTTTGTGCGCCGTGGGGTGTTCGGCGAGGACGAACAACTGCTAACCTAGGTACCTAACCAAGACGCCGTCTCATCACAAACTACCCATCTAGCCAGCCATCCGATCCCATATTCCCTACCACACTCATTTCATTCAGTGCCCTGCTCCTTCTCATACAGTACTCGTTCTTCCATCTCACAACTCATCCTTCGTACTTATCATGACTCGCGAGATTATACCTGCAGCGCAACTCCGACTCACTCCCCTCTACCCCATTCGCCACTTTTTTTCCTCTTCAACAGCACCCAGCCTCAGCCTCACGCAGAGCCCGAAGACTCGGTCGCTGAAACACCTTTTTCTACCGCACCGTTCCTTGATGTTCCTTGATATCCACCTAGCGCCCCCTACCAGGACCTACCATTGGTTCTTGGCTTCCAAAAGCAACTCCAGCGCTGACGTGCACGCCACTAATTCGCCCGTACTAACCACAACAAAGCCTACAACAGGTCAATCATTACATCTTGGCTTGTTTCCGCGCATCTGGTTTTGTTCCTGGCCACGTTGTTTATGTTCCGTTCCACGTGGAATCTTCCATGTGGCAACCCATGCGCAATGCAGATCTCAACGTAGAATGACAAATAGAATAGGTGTGGAAGGGGAGGAAGGTTCGAGAAATGAGGCGGTGGAAGTGTTGTTTTTGTGTCATGTTGATGGGTGATGATGGGGGTTGAGTAATCTTAATAATGCGGCACAAGGTATTTTGGAGGCTGCTATGGTGCGGTGGTTGGAATTTAGAGGGCACTTTACGGACTTGTATCCATGAAACGCCCATGGGGTGCTTACAGGTGTGATCTCATCAGACCCTTGTAGAGTCTCCTACGTGAACCACTCTACCGACGAGGAGAACTGCGTTGGCGGATGATGCCCCAAGACGATAGAAGCTTGAAAAGAATAGTTGTAAACTAGGACGAAGGAAACGAAACCATTGCGAAGACCATAATCTCCAGACCCATGCATCAACAACCAAGCCGCCTACACGCTGTTATCGCCGACTACTTCTGATGCGTATGATCGCTCCTCGCCCCAGTAACTCCAATATTGAAGTCCTCGCGTATCCTCGACAGCGCACTCTGTTCCTCCTCATCCGCGACTTCATCATCGACTTCCACCTCAGCAATGCTGTGTCTACTATCCGAGCCATCACTACCATCGGCGTTGACCAACGCTTCCTGCTCCTGCTCGTCCTCGTTATCTGAGTCGTCATCTGTATCGTCGTCGTCGGCTTTATTCGATTCGCGAGGATCGCGGCCAAGCTCCGGTTTCGTCTTGCGCTCAAAGTCCTCAGCGTGGGCGTCGCGGAAGATTTCGCCGACATGAGTGAACGCGCGCTGGAGAGGTGAGGGACGGAAGTCGTCTTGAGGGCCGCGGCGCTTGCGCGTATTTGATTGGGAGTGTTCGAGATCTGCTCCTGAAGCTGTAGCTGGACGGCGGACTTGGTTATTGTTCTCGGTTGGGGTGTAGGGACGAGCCTCGTCGGGCTGTTCTTCGTCGATGAGGGTAGGTGCTCGAGGGATACCAGAGGTGTGATCCTCTTCCTCCTCTGCGTCCAGGGGGAGGTAGTACGGCAGTGGTACGTCTCTGCTTGCGCGGAAGCGACCGACGTTCGTGCAGTGCTCGTTCTCGACACGGAATACAGACCACATGCCTCTTCTGAAGATCTCACTGAGCGAGACACAGAAAGAAGTAGTCGCCGAGTGCTGAAGCTGCAGGGGTGTGACGAGGTACATAACCCAGTTGTTCCGTAAGATTGGATCGATACACATGGCAGTATAGTACCACCATACCTTCTTGTATCCCAGCTCTTTGCGCAGGAAGGGATGCTTGGCGTGTGGGTCACCGAGACTCCAGTCGTAGTAGATGTCCCAGAAGCTCGTATAGATGCCATTAATGGTTGCGAACAGTATGAAGACTGCCTTGGTGGACGGTTTCTGATCCATGCGGTAGATGCTGGTGGAGACATAGAACAAGATGGTTGCGATGTACTTTCCGCCGTTCAGCAGATGAGGGAACTTATTTCCGGTGTCTTTGTAACGTCGCAGACATTGCATCAATCGCCATATACCCGGCAACGTCGTCATAACGCCGGTAACGCGTAGGTGAGACGAGTTGCATTGGTTGGGATTGTCCCAACCGTGCGCATAGAGACAGAAAAATAGTGCGATGCCCTAGACGGGTCAGTGATTTGGAGCAGAGATGGGTTCGGCGGACTTACACTCATGCTGTAAGTCAGAGAACAGAACATATCGCCCAAGTAGAAGTCTCGCCATTCGACAGGGTAAATACCAGCGAGCAACAGGCGCCACTGGCAAGGCATTAGCAGTGGTTTCGCACGAGTTGATCATCAGACTTACCAGGGAGTACAGCAGCCACATGCGAGTACGGAAGTACATTATCCTCAGAGGATTGAACAAAAGCGCGACCGATATACCAATAAGAATGACTGGGTAGTATAGATAGAGTCCATCTCCCCCAACCTGATGAAAGTTGATTTGCATAAACAGTCCAAGCATAAACAAAGTCCAACAAGGAAGCTATGATACGTTAGTGTCAGCGTACCAGATATGGAATGAATACTGACCTCCGCAAGTTGCCTCCAGTCCAAGTGGTGGCGGGTATCATATTCGAAGATAAAGACGTAGTTGATCTTGTGCTCGTGCCAGGTCCGACACGCCAGAGTGAATAGGAGAAGAAGGAAGTTGATGAGGAAGTAGCCGGCATATATCTGAAAAGATTAGCTTTCCCCTATCCATGGTTTGGATCAACTCACCTGCAACAGATAGCTTGTGTTCACTGCGAACTCATTCCCGTCAGTATTGTGCAGATCTGCAATAGTGTTTGCTTTGATGAGACCCTGGATGCCAAGTATGACACCCGCCGACAATAGCAGACCGTTGCGGAATGTGTTGTCTGTGTAATCGCCTGCTCGTGCGATCTTGATGCGTAGCTTCCCGATGGCGACTTTGTGGTTGCCCTTCTCGAAGTATCTTGCGTATAGGTCCTCCGTTGCTCGAATATGCCCTTCGATGACATCGCTGTTGACGAACCAGGCTTGATTGACCTTTTCGTTCATGTACCGCGATGACGGTCGCGCATTGACAGTCTTGTCGTACTTCTTGTTGATTTTCCGGAAGGCAGTCCGATTCAACAATGCGTAAGACTTGAGAAGCTCGAGTCCTCTGTAGTACTCCTGCAGTGCCACCTTGAGCTTGCGTTTCGCCGTCTGGTATGGTACGTCGGGTAGTTCTGGCCGTCTAGCAAAGTCGCGACGACTATCGGGATGGTCCTTGGGCTGAAGTGCCGCCGGAGTCGCGAGCTGTGTTATGTTCTTGGTGCTCTTCCCGTACTTACCCGCGTTGATGGCATCCAGCGCGGCGTCTATGGGGTTTAGGAAAGTGTCCTTGAGAGTGTTTCCAATATTCCCGTTCCCGTTGGCCTGCTGATTTTCGTCGCCCGAGCTGCTGTTCTGACCGTTGCTCAGCACATGATGCCCGTCGTGTTTCTTATGGGCCTTCGCATTGATCTTGTCCGTCTGACGTTTGATGACCTCGTCGATACGTCGGTCTCGCATAATGTGGAGTTGGTCGCGTAGCACGTTCAGGCGCTTGGTAGCCTCGTCTTCCTTGTGCTTGTAGAACGACTCGATCTTATCCAGCTCGCCATCGAGGAAGTTGAAGAACTCGGCTTGTCGGAAGTCAAGATCGCGATAGGCTTCGAGGGGGACGTCGCCTGGGCTGTCCGGGGGAGTCTTGCTGCTCAAGGAGAATAGACGGCGTACCGATGGGCGCGACTTGTGCTCGGTGATAGGGCCGGGCAGCGAGTTCATGCGCTTGGGGGTGAAGACGCTCTTGTATCTGTTGGGCAACGAGCTGTGATGCTTGTGGGGCGACACTGTCTTCCCAACTTCGAAAGCATTGTCGTTGTCGTTCTCTGCTGGCGGAGGAAGCGTGACTGTCTTCTGCTTTCGCAGCGATGCGCCAGACGCCGCTCCTCCTTGAGGGGAAGGGTTCTCAGGGTCGAGCGCAGCCCCAGGCAGCTTCAAGGACGGCGGTGCCCTGGACTTGTCTGCAGAGGTGCCTGTCTTGGTGGCGCCATCAGATGTGCTTCCCTCAAAGCTGCCGTAGTTGTGTGCCCAGTCTCGGCGGTTCGTTTCGCTCTGTGCCAATGGCTCTTCTTCGGGCGTGCGGCCGCTCTGGTTGCTGTTCGCCCTCTGGCGCAGGCTGTGCTGGCTGCGGCTGTTCGTGATAGCAAGCGCCCTCAGGTCCTCGGGGTCTCTGGCGCTGCCCGTCTGGTCGCGGTTGAGGTACGTGTACTTGGGCGCGGCGTCGAAGGGCGAGGGCAGGATCTGGGTGCCGCGTCGGCGGAGGCGTGGGGTCGATTCGACATTGCGGAGGGCGCGACTGATGGCCTTGAGCTTCTTCTTGCCCACCTGAGGTATCGTCAGTCGTCTGTGGTATTAAGCGTCGGCTAGCGGAAGTCGGCATCACCTTGTAGTCTAAGTACTTGAGCCGCCACTCCGGTACCAGATCTCGCTCTAGCTCTCTACTGCCGTCAGTCCCGTGGCTGGAGTTATTTAGGTGCGTCGTCTCACTTTGCGAACTTCATGACCGTCTCGTCGGCGCGTCAATACCCAAACACGATCAATGGGGGGCACAAAAGCGCGTTCGCGTTTCTCGTCGATGCATGAGGTTCCGCGCAGGTACACTGTAAAATGTTTCACGGATGCGATAAGGGTTAGTAAATGCGAAGATGGTCGCGTGCTACCTCCAGCAGTTAAACCGTGGTTGCGAGGGCTGTCACGATGAGATTGAGTATACCGCGGAGGAGATTTGCACGAATCATGTTCCCCTTGGCAGCTATTGGCGCATTGGCGACAACGTCATAGCTAGGGATCCTGTATTTGGCAGGTGTGGAAGCCCCTCAGAAGCATCCAGCACAAGACCGGATAAACACACACGGCGATAGAGACATGCAGCTGCCACTGTTCACGAAACACGTTGACGATCCCGAGGGACTGGCCAGAGCACTGGTCTCAAGAGGATTGAGCTAGTCCTTCATTGGATTCTTGGTTGCTTCTACGGGTCTGACCAATCACAGTTGTCTCTCCTCCGCTACCACCCGCGCCTCTCAAACTTCTCTGGGCGACCGTACTGCTGAGGGTCGTACTGGTCCGCGCCGTGGTTGTCGATGTAGTGCTCGTCGTACATGCGCTCTGCATGGTGCTCTGCATCGCGCTTGGCCTTCTCGCGGTCGAACCAGTCCTCGCCCTTGGTCTCAGCGAGCTTGTCAACCTACAGACGTCCGATTAGCCGCCATCCCATACACCGTCACACGGTGATGCTTACCTCAGCGCCTGCGAAGCCGGCAAGAAGCTCTTTGGCGAACTGATGGGATACCGGCTTGCCTAAGACGACGTCAGTGTGCGATAAGATCAAGCATGTGAAAACACATACCCTCTTTGCGCTGGTGGTCTTCGAATGCCTTGAAGCCTGCGAAAGCAGCTCCTCCAGCGATCATCTCGTGTCCCAGACTGGACTTGTTCTCTTCGAAGTTGTCATTCTCGTATACCTGCTGGTAGTTGTCTTCGTTCTTGTCTGTAATGGAGTCAGCAAGAGACATCTTGAATAAGTGAGACAGACGCACCCCAGAAACCCATTTTGATAGTTGATGATGTGAAGACGGAAAGATGAGGAGTGATATTGGACTTGTTTGTAGTTCAGCAATGGTAGTCGAGTGTAGTGTCCATGTTAGAGGCGTACTTCGTCAGCCTTTAAGTATCTCTCCTCGGACAACCGCTGCCACGCGGCGTCATAGTCGGCCAGCATTCATGCATCTGTTGGCAGTAACAAATCACTCATCGAGGCCGATCGGACCCCTCTCTTCTCGCCCTCAGCCATCCAGGGACCACTTGTGGCTCAGCTGTGAAGCGCATGCAGGGTCCTTGAGCTCATTCTTGCGCCACGTTACGCACCAGACCGCTGACATCTTAATCTGAGTGGCTCACTCTTCGTGTTGGCACGTTTGAAAGTATATTGACGAACCTGTTGCGGTATAGACGCGTGCGTAATGGGCCAGGATGTGGACGTCAGATCAACGGGACGCTCGGCACAGTCAAACAAGCTTCCTTGGTAAAGCTTAGCCTTGCATGACAGAGCGTCTAGGCTCGCGAGCTGAGGGGCTGCGCCTGCAAGAAGTTCCAAATCCTCATGAACAGTACCACAGAATGCGAAATAAAAGTTGAGATCTCGTGCCAATACTGTAGCCTGGCCTCAGGTAGGATAGCTGGAGTTGTTGCTTGTTCCATGGTAGAAAGCTTGGCTAGTTAGCGCGCGATTATCTCCCGAGTCTCAGGTGCTCCAACTCCACCATGTACTCAGCCACAACCCCATCTTCACGACAACATGCCGGGCCGACTCCCCACGAAAGCTGACTTTCCATCGTCGGTGACCTTGAGCATCACGCCACGTACGTCGCAATCTCCAGAGTCGCTCTTACCCTCGCTAACTCGTCCAGCGCCGGCTTCGCAACCACCCACGAACATCTTGATCCTCCTACACGGCCTCGGCGACACGAATGCGTCCTTCACGAAGCTCGGCGAGCAGCTGAACCTCCCAGAAACAGCATGCATCGCGATACAAGCGCCGAACCCGCTGCCATTCGATCTCGGTGGAATGCACTGGGGTGAAGACATGATCTTTGACTCCACTACAGGCGAGATGGACATGGATACCGGCGTTCAGAAGTCCACGCTTCTGGTCCTAGATCAAGTCATTCGCGAAGGTCTCATCGGCAAATGCGGCTACAAAGCGCGCGAGATCATGATCTTTGGGTTCGCGCAAGGCGGCATGGTCGCACTGCAGGCTGCTGCCCAGCTTGAGGAAGAATTAGGCGGGGTGATCAGTATCGGAGGGCCTCTATCCCAATCAGTGCCACTGAAGGCTTTGGAGAAGAAGAGCAAGACCCCAGTGCTGATTTGCAAGGCAGACAAGAAGTCTGCGGTCACCGACAGTGCGACTACGAAGCTGAAGGATGCTTTCCAATACATCGAGTTCAAAGAGTGGAAGAAGAACGGTGACGGCATGCCGAGCAGCCGCGACGAGATGCTGCCCATCATGCAGTTTTTTGCTCGTCGACTCCGTAGTACCAGAGGAGTTCCGGCAGGTAGCGTCGAGATCGGATAGACACGTCAGGGAAGATATCGCGGAATGTTTTGTCGAGGTCAGTCAAAGCCTCCATGCGCCACCACGCGCATGCGGCGCCTTTCCAAGTGCTGGGTAGGTAGCAAAGCAAGGACATCAAAGAATACAATCGGCTCCCCAAGCGTCACGCGATCTGGACATAAAATTTCTCACAGCCACACACATTCAACGTCGCTTTGCCCACCATATTCTCGTCATCGCGCCTTCCTGCCCTCGTGATGCACGTGGCGTGGTCCGAGCGCCTTGTACGTCACTTCCATTCTTGAACACCATTCGCTCGTCGTCTTCCACCCTCCCGAAACCTACACACGTCTCACCGCTAAACACAGCCATGGCGGTGCCGAGGAATTCTTTGCGAGCCTTTCTTACACACGCGAGAGGCGCTCTTCGGAGCGCCATTGAAACTAGTCAGAAGATTACATTCGTCATTGGGAATGAGTCTGCGGGTGAGCATGACTCCTGCTCCACAATGGCGCTGCATACTCATGAAATGCAGACCTTGATTCGATGTCATGTTCCATTTTGTACGCATACCTCCGGTCCATGTCGCCGCCCAAGAATGCCTTTAGCCCACTTTACGTACCAATCACAAATATTCCAGCGTCCGATATTCAGCTACGACCGGAATACTTGGCCGTGTTCAAGCACGCCAATATCGAGTCAAAGCACTTGATCACGTTGGATGACCTTCCCGCTTTGTCAGACATACAGTCGAAGCTCGCGCCTGAGAATACCAAATGGATCTTGGTAGACCACAATGCGCTGCAGGGCCAATTGGGCAAAATATATGCAGAGCGTGTCGCTGGTGTCATTGATCATCATGACGATGAGAAAAAAGTACCGGAAGACACAGGCGACGAGCCGAGGATAATCGAGAAGTGTGGCAGCTGCACTAGCTTGATTGCAAACTACTGCCAGCCATCATGGGACATGGCTTCCGCGTCTGCCTTGTCTTCGGGGGCAGCCCATGCGCAGGGTGACAGCATGTCCAACGACGCTGCCTTTGTCAAGCGCTGGGATGCAGACGTCGCCCAGTTGGGACTGGCCAGCATTCTCATCGATACGGCCGATCTCCACGACGAGAACAAAACGACCGAGCATGACCGTAAGGCTGTCGAGTACCTGGAAGCTAAGATCATGCTCTGTCCCCCGCTGGCTGCAAGCTTCGACCGCGCCAGCTTCTACGAGGAGATCAACGCAGCAAAGAAGGACATTGGAAGCCTAAAGCTGCAAGACATACTTCGGAAGGATTATAAGCAATGGGACCAGGGTGGCCGAAAGCTCGGTGTTAGTTCAGTCGTCAAGCCTATAGAGTTCCTCCAGAAGAAAGCTGGCGACGAAGCAAGTGCTCAGGCATCCGACGCCTTCCTCAAAGCGTTGGAGGAATTTGCAAGGGAGCGTGAGCTGGACATGTATTCCCTGATGACCACGTCGTCGGGTGCAGATGGGCAATTCCAGAGGGAACTGTTACTATGGGCCTTCAACGACGGCGCCGTGTCGGCTGCCAAAACATTTGCCACGAATTCAAAAGATGAGTTGGGATTGGAGGACTGGCAGGGCTCCGACGACATTGACAGCAAGAGCGAGTGGAGAAAGACTTGGTGGCAGCGACAAGTGCAGCACAGTCGAAAACGTGTCGCTCCTCTACTCAGGGAAGCCATGCCTTGACTATGGGTTCTAGGCAAGCTGTGATGGAGTCGCGGAGGCAGCGATCGGGTACAATGGTGCCGGTAGAGCGCTACGCTGGCGCGTTGGTGTCGGATTAGCGGGGATCGCCACGATTTTGCATGTCTTGCATTGTAGATAGGCGCTTAGCAGCGATTGGGCAGGGCAGCCGTCAGCCCAAATGCCGTTGGGTAGAGTACGTGGAATGGCCATGGGTACCTGAAGAAGGAGCGGTCTGTATGCGGCAATCGTGTGGCGGGGTATTACACGCGACCGGCAGATGGTCGACGATCTCCGATAGCCAGCTGGAAACGAAACATGTTCAATGTAACATTTCAACGCCCACGCAGGATATTCTTATCTCGTAATATTACGATCGCGATTGAGTTGCCATGCACCAGGATATAGCTGCAGACGCACTGCGACTGCAAACATGCAAAAAGGAACGAAGCTCCGCAGCGACTGCAGCGATAGCCCCAAACAGGAGACGCTGCAGAGAGTTTAGTATGTGGTGTGACGGTGCGGCTCATTGGACGGCGACTGAATATGCATGGCGGAGTGATGAATGATGTCGAGGATTGCGAGGCACTAGGCATGCACTGGGAGATGAATGGGAAAACATGGGTTCACAGCGGTGCAGCGCGATGCTTTGGCGTGCAGCATGTTGCATGGCATGGTCCTTTTTGACAGCCATGCGCTGGCAGCGCAGGGGAAGAGGGCGACTCCACTCGCCGGCCGTCA